GAGGCACACGAAGCTCACGGCAAAATGAGAGATTGAGTGTATAACCCAGACGGATGAGTGAGGACTCTTGACGAGTGTTGGTCATGCTCCCTTCATCTGTACTTTTTTAGACTATTATAAGTTTTCATTCTTCCCTCACTTATCCTTGTCTTTGTTCAAGTCAGTCAATCTTGCGTCGTCTACCCTGCCTTTGCTTGATGCCCATGTTTTCTGATAATCCTGTCATAGTTTCTCAAAATTAGAAAATTGGCAAAATTGATGCATGCATGACATACCAAAATTTTATGATTAATATTTGCATGATTCTTTCTTGTTCCGAATCAAAATAAAAGATTCATAAGACCAAGGACCGGCAAAGACCACAATTGAAGGGTCTCGCTCGAAGTCGGACGCACACAACAGGAAGGGATTTGCTTTAATTAATTTATTTTATTTATTCCAAAGTAATACAAACATCCTCAAAATCCTGCGTGACAGCCTGTTGGCTTTCTGGTCGCCCGAAAACGCCAGACTGGAAAAAGTGCGACAACAGACACACTACTTCCTCCGTGATGATGAGGGCTGCACGTTACAAAAGGACACAGTGCTCTCGTGAGTTCTCATTTCCAATGTATGGTCCCCCATTCAAGGACCAATACATCTCGGGAAAATGTCTGTGATCTGGAATATTCGTCTTTTTTTTTTTTTTTGAAGCCTGTATTATAGTTGCAGCTGGAGCATGTGGAAACATGCACGGCGAAAACAAGAGTACGTCCTTGGGCCCAACAGCTTCTTCACCAATTTTAGTGTCGAGCCTTTCCCGAACCCCGAAAGTTGCGGCGCTTTAATGGCCATGACTTTTGTTTTTGGTTGGGCCAGGTACTGGTGGTTTAAGACTTAAACAACTACCTTTCTTAGTGTTGGGAAAAATGGGAATTTAGCCTACTCCGAAGTTTTTGGAGGTCCTGCAGAGGCATGGCATCAGACTACCTCAAAACAAAAAAAAAAGAGAAAACATCCGGGCCCTGCGGGCCCGTTATTAGGAAAAAAAAAAAAAAAAACAACGACTTTGAGATCATTGGTGTCGAGAAAGCAGCTCACCGATGGCAACCTTACACAGGTCCTTTCCGGAATGCATCTGGCCACTAATATGGCCACATGTTTGCTGATCTTTCTGTTTTCTTTTCTTTTCTTTTCTCTTGGTGCCCTGCCAGTGAGGTAGGGCGTATTCCACGTCGGGAAACACCCTCAGTGAGGGCATACACACACCGGTAGTTCCAAGAATGTATCTGACTGCCATAACTGCGTAAGGGAATTTTTTTTTTTTTTTTTTTCCCTCCTGTTTCACAACGGGTTAGACACCCTCAGCAGGGCTCACTCACACTTAGTCTAGTACTTCCCAGAAAGAATCTGACCACTATCATGGTGGAAGGGATGTTTCCTTTTTTTTCTTCTTCTTCTTCCCTTGTGATTCCGCGAGGAATTGCTTTTTTTTTCTAACGGTACCAAAAGAATGAATGTCAAATGGTACCGCCCCCACTCTAAGCTCGGCAAAAATTGCAGGGTCGGCAAAAATAGAATCGGAGGTAGTGGTGGTTTAAACCAACAGTACTTGGGGCTGGCCTTAGCGTTAACACTACGAAAAATTTGTGGCTGGCGGGCCGTGGATAAATTGAATCCACAGCCCGTGTCGCTTCGACCTCCGGCGCACAGTGCCCAAGTACTGGTGGTTTAAACCACCACTCCCTCCGACAGGAGGAAATAGCCCCTCCTGTGAGTCCGTCGACAATTTAGGGAGGGCAGAGCAGCAGGGCCGGTTCCGTGGGGAAGTGGAAACCTGTGCCAAGTACTGGTGTTCGGAGTCGGGCCGCAGGTGGTTTGAGCATCTTTTGAAAGCGGGAAAAATGGCGGCCGCCACTTTCCACAACACAGTGCATTTTTTTTTTATTTTTTTTTTTGTGTGTTGGGGTGTTTTTTCGTTGGGCCCGCCGACAGTTTTCCCTGCAAAATGGCGGGAAAAGTGGAGGCCGCCACTTTGCATAACACAGCCCCCCCCCCAAAAAAAAAAAAATCAGCACCTCAGGCCGACACCAGGGACTTTCCATCATGGCCCGTGGTTGTGGCCGTAATGGCATCCAGATACATTTCTTTTTCAATTTTATTATCGCCGTGCCCTTAAAATGACCAGTGGGGCATCTCTCTGCAGCACACGTCCAGATTCAGACAGAACTCCAATACAAAAAATTGTTGCCCGTGTTACGTCGGGCCGTAATCTGATCCTCTATTGTGGAGGACGCTGCAACGGCCGCGGCCCCTGGCAGGGATCCGACAGTCCACTTGTTTTTTTTTGTTTTCAATTTTTTTTCCTCGCACTTTCAAATTTCAACAAAAAAAAAAAAAAAAAAAAAAAACATATTTTCTGCAAGGCTGGGCCCGTCGATAGGGACTAGGCAAAAGGGACACCAGGTGCCCCTACGGGTAGGCGCAATTTCCTCCTGTCGGACGGAGTGGTGGTTTAAGCGGTAAGGTATATCCCGGTTTAAATGTGTACTCATGAATCTAGACGCCATTCTAATATTCTTGCTTCTGCCTGGTGTCCAGGCCCATTCTGGCCACATCTTTGTTTAGAATGGAGGGGGAGCCATGCACTGTAGAAGTAATTGGAAACAATGGAAAGGAGGTGAGTACAGCCGGGATGTCTGATCCCTGTTGCTTATGACATAATTGGAAAGCACTTCTGGGTGCTGTTTCCTGAACCGGCACTCCCCAACCCCCTGGTTTCCAGGTGAAGACTTCTCTCGACAAATCCGTCCACTGCTTCCAGCCTTGTGGGATGCTTGTGATGATAATTTGTAAGTTCTCGTCTCGTCAGTGGCATCCCTTGAGGCGGGAACCAAGCTCCTGTTCTAACAGCCAGTCCTTTTCCTCCTCATCCGAAAGATGGCTCACTTGGGCCTGCGGGCCTAGCTCAGTTGGTAAGGTACAGAAGTTGCATTCAGGAGGTCGTGGGTTCAATCCCCATTGGCCTCACGATGTGCCTGGGCAAGCTTGGTGTTCTACCAGCTAGAGATAACCCGTCGGCCCCCCAAGCCAGCATTGGCAGGACCTCGGCTGATGTTGTTGGCTGCTATGCAGCGACAATATTGGCCATTAGACACCGCCATGTGGGGTTGGGGGGGGGTAGGGGGAGGTGCAATGACTGGCCATTGCTCGGCGCTAGCACCGCTGATTTCCCCCATCGGCATTGCCTGCCCACCCCTCGTCACCGTGATGAGGGACTGGTACAGCCTTGCCCTCGCACCACAGCTGTGGTGCCAACCTACCCTGTGGGCTGGGGAGGGATCCGGGTTGGTTGGTGTTCCCCCATACTACATATATAGAATAGTGAGAGGATGAGATAGACGCGTACTATCAAGAAAAATGAGATAGATGAGAGAAGAATATAGCTTACCTTTATTAAAAAAAAAAAAAAAAAAAGATGGCTCACTTTCCAAACTCCATGACTACTCCATTGTTATGATGCTGGTTATCCCGAAGTGCAATAACACAAAGAAAGACAATGCCATTCAATTGCAATTTGCAAATGAAATGAAAGAACGTGGAAAGAGAAATTGACAAAGGAAGAAGAACAACAAAGAAGTAGAAGACGCACACCAGAGAAGACCAATGACAAATCACCCTCCCAACTCGCCAACTCCCCCAACCTCTTCATTCAATAAATAATAATTAAATAATAATAACAATGAAAGACTGAACCAGAACAATGAAAGACTAAACCAGAACCAATGTCCGAATCCCCCCCTTACTGCAGCAACACATGAGGTCCACCATAGCCATGACCTACACATACCACCTTCTAGTGATGGTGGCTATGGTGGACTAGTGAGGCCTTGCCCCGATGTTCAAAGGACAACGCAAAGCTGATTTCTCCTCTCTACTCAGGCTGCCACGCCTAACTCTTCCCTGAAGCCTTCCTTGAAGCAGTGCAACCCCACTGGGGCCTTCCCGGTGCAGCACCAACCGAGAAGATGAAGATGCCATCCCCGATAGTCAGGTAAGTACCCCGTCACTCTCCTAGTAGCCCACCTTTGTCCTCCTCCTCCTACCGGGTCTCCTCGGCCATAGCCAAGGCTGAAGCGCCCGGTCTCCTTCCTCCTCCCCAGTGCTGGACTTGGCCAACGCTCACTCCAGTAGCATGACACCAAACTTGCACACCACAAAATGAGGGAGAGCAATGAGTGCTCTCCCAAGATATACCGGGCAGCTTGCCTATTGGGCAGTGACTTTCCAGGCTGCTCAGCCTCCCAAGCATCCCTTGCCTTCCTCCTCTCGAAAGGAAGCATCATTGTAGGTCTGCTATCATCCGCTACAGGCCCTAGACTCAGACTACTGGTCTGGCACCCCTAGACCTAGGCCTACCGGACTTCTAAAATTCACTCAGCCTCTAAAGGTACCGACGTTTTGTCCTTTCCTGCCTACCTACCGCTACTCAAGTGTTTTATAACCTACATAGGCCTACCCTACCCGCTACTCAAGTGCTCCCATCTACGCGGGCCTTGCCTACCGCAAAGTACCCGCTCCAACCCCACAAAAGCACGGCCAACACACCAGTACCCTGGCGGGTCACACACATGCACTCAGACAGGCACATGGGAACCAGCAAGTACGCACACACACAGACTTGTAAATCTCAGCAAAAAGCGGGAATCTCAGCAAGTCACACATTCCAGCGGCAAATCTCAGAAATCCAGCCTGTGTTCTTGCAGGTCATTTCACCATGATACCGATCTCCTTCCCCGTGGCTTCAGAGAGAGTGTGTGATCACTTTCTACTTCTTTTCTTTTCTACCTTTTTTAATTTTTTTCTTTTTCTTTTTGACACAGAGGGAGAGGTGGTACAGGGTAAGGAGAGAGACAGAGAGAGAGACTTACATGTGGTACAGGGTGGAGAGAGAGAGAGAGAGAGAGAGAGAGAGAGAGAGAGAGAGAGAGAGAGAGAGAGAGAGAGAGAGAGAGTCTTACCTGATATGATTTTGTCCCACTTTACAGGATCTTCAGGAGCATTATCCTCCAAAAGGGCCGACAAGAACCCCGGCTGCATGGGCCACCGCAAAGCAAGATGGACAAACAGTAGGTGGGTAAGAAGGGCCACCAGCAGCAACAGAAGAAGGACAGCAAAAGAAGGCTGCAGAAGAAGAAGAGTAGTGATAAACAGAGTCCAACGACTGTCTTTCCTACATGCTTCCAACAATGATTAATACACATCCCCATGCACTGAGCTCAGAGAGTGACGCTTCTCGTCCAGGTAGCTCACCTGGCATTCCTCAGGGGCCTTCTCCCCCCCCAGAGCGGCATCACCTCCCAGTCTAACTGCAGACGTAGCCGGAAACCAACAGAAGAAGAAGATTCTGAAGAAGAGGAAGAAGAAGATTCTGAAGAAGAAGAAGAAGAGGAAGCAGAAGAAGAAGAAGCTGGACTGTGTTTGGATGTGTGGTGTATGAAACTTCGCTTCGTGGCTAGAGGGCCATTCTATGGGGGGAACATCACGCCCAAGTTTGGCGAACGCCTGTGCTGTACGTTGCAAAACCATCAGTCTTAGTCGCAACCCATAACAACTAAAAGCTACTAGAGATTTTTTTTAATTATCATTTTTTTTTTCTAATGCGCAGGGGCCATGCTAATCTTCTCCGTATCGTTCCAATTTTAACGGATGTCCCGAAGGACAGCTACTAGAGATTTGCTTCATTATAAAGTACAATTTGTTTTGACCTTAGCACACTGAATAGTAAAATGTCAAATAGAACGAATTCGCGCTTTCAAGAGAAATGCACTTTGAGAGAGGGAGGCCTGCGTCCAGGAAAAAAGCAAGAAACCGACGAGATATTGATCCACCAATCACGATGAATCATCTGTGTTCTGGGCGCACGCACGGGGAAGGTTTCCCATGCATGCGTAGGAGTTTCCCATGCAGGTGTAGCTGCCGAGAGAGGTGTCTCCCTCCCTCCCTCCCTCCCTGTGTATGCCCTCCCTCCCTCCCTGTGTATGCTAGGAGCAGCTAAGACGCACTGGCATGGCGTTCGTTTGCCTGTCCCTTCCTCCCTCCCTCCCTCTTTCCCTCCC